AACAACTTAACAAAAGGAATATAAACAATCCAAAAAAAGGGCAAAGGACCTAGATAGACACCTCTTTAAATACCTTTTGAAAGAGGACATACAGAAGGCCCAGAAACATATGAAAACATGCTCAAAGATGCAAATCAAAACAACAATGAGGTACCATCTCACACCTGTCAGAATGGCTACCATTAATAAATCAACAAACAACAGGTGAGGATACGGAGAAAAAGTAACCTTCTTGCACTGCTGGTGGGAATGCAGACTGGTGCAGCCACTGTGGAAAACAGTACAGTGTTTCCTCAAAAAAATTGAAAGTGGAACTTCCATTTGACCCAGTAATCCCACTTTTAGGACTGTATCCCAAGAAAACAGAAACATCAATCAGAAAGGATATATGCACCCCTATGTTCATAGCAGCACAATTTATAATAGCTAATATTTGGAAACAATCTAAATGCCCATCAGCAGATGAGTAGGTTAGAAGAAAGTGGCACATCTACACAATGGAATACTACGCTGCTCTAAAAAAGAAGGAATTCTCACCATTTGCAACAGCATGAATGGAACTGGAGAGCATTATGCTAAGCCAGTTAGAGAAAGATAAATATCACATGATCTCACTCATTTGTGGAATATAATGAACAACATAAACTGATGAACAAAAATAGAACCAGAGACATAGAAGCATTGAACAGACTGTCCAATCTTTGAGGGAAAGCAGGAGGTGAGGGGGTCAGAGATCAACCAAAGGACTTGTATGTATGCATATGAGCATAACCAATGGACACAGACAGTGGAGGCAGGAGCGGTGAGGGCATGTGCTTGCGGGGTGGGTAGCTGGGGAGAGGTCAATGGGGAAAAAGGGAGACTTGTGTAATACTTTGAACAATAAAGAATTTGAAAATAATAAATCATTAAGTATGTGCCCCCAGTAATAATAATAAAAAAGGATTGGACTAATCAGCTTCTATATTTAGGTGGTTTTTAAATTGAATTACTTATGATGTTTATCATTTATTTACTTGACTTTTGCCCTTGCATCAAAAAGAGAATCCGTCTTAATATTAAGACTTAGGATACTTTGGTTTAAGAAGCTGGTGAGATGCTGAAGGGGGATTAGAATTTAGGTATTACCTACCCAAAATTCAGGAATTGGCAAATAGAGCAGAAATCTCTATCATCAGATAGTCAAGTAGGTGAGGTTATACTACTAGTGAAAACTTGTTTTCATTATTTCCTTTACTCTGTATGAGAAGTTTTAGTCTCCAAATAAAAAATTGAAAGTACAAATATTGCATAAATAATGGATTTTTTCTTTCTTCAAGTTGGTATTTCTTGATTTAAAATCTTAAAGTATATTGACTAGTTTTAGGATTCACTTCAGAGTTTCCTTAAAATGCGCAGTGTGACTTGATTTTTAAATCTTTGTTTTACATACTTTCAGGAACCTATTTATTATACAAAGCAAGAATAGCTGTGTTCTCCCTGGGGTTGGTTTTTTCAGTCAAATCCTTTTAAAACATGAACTAGAAAGATTAGAATTATCAACATATTTAAAATGGCCATTTTACCCAAAGCAATATACAGATTTTATGCAATCCCCATCAAAATCCCAATGTCATATTTTAAAGAAATAGAACGATAAATAATCAGATTTGTATGGAACCACAAAAGACCCCAAATAGCCAAAGCAAACCTGAGAAAAAAGAATGAAGCTGGAGGTATCACACTACCTGACTTCAAATTATACTAGAGCTATGATAACCAAAACAGCATGGTATTGGCACAGAAACAGACACACAGATCAATGGAACAGCATAGAAAGCCCAGCTATAAAACCAAATGTATATGGACAGATAATTTTCGACTAAGGAGCCAAAACACACAATGGAGTAAAGATAGTCTCTTTAATAAATGGTGCTGGGAAACTGGAAAGCCGCATGCAAACAAATGAAACTGGACTACAGTTTGTCCTCATGTACAAAAATTAATTCAGAATGGACCAAAGATCTAAGCATAAGACCCTAAAAAATAAGTTGCATAAAAGAAGATATAGGCACCAAACTTAATGGTCCCTAGTTGTAGAGAACATTTTATGAACTTGACCCCAAAGGTAAGGGAAGTAAAGGCAAAAATAAATGAATGGGACTATATCAAACTAAGAAGCTTTTGCACTGCAAAAGAAATAACAACAAAACAAAGGTGGCTTCAACAAAGGTTTAATTTCCAAAATATATAAAGAACTCATAAAACTCAACACCAAACAAACAACCCAATCAAACAGTGGGCAGAGGACCTGAAAATACATCTCTCCCAAGAAGACATGTGAACAGCCAACACATATATGAAAAGATGTTCAACCTCATTAGCAGTTAGGTAAAAGCAAATCAAAACTACAATGAGATACTACCTCACACCTATTAGAGTGGCCATTATCAACAAGACAAGCAATAACAAGTGTTGGGAGGTTGTGGGAAAAGGGAACCCTCATTCACTGCTGGTGCGAATGTAAACTGGTACAACCACTATAGAAAGCAATCTGGCAATTCCTCAAAAAATGAAGAATAGAGCTACCATATGGCCCAGAAACCCCTCTCCTGGGTACGTAAATCATGTATTCGAACATGTATCCATGTTCACTGTAGCATTATTCACGGTGGCCAGGACATGGAAACAACCAAAGTGTCCTGTGGTAGAGAACTGGATAAACAATGGAATACTACTCAACTATAAGAAAGGATGAAATAGCACCATTTGCAACAACATGGGTGGACCTTGAGAACATTATGTTAAGTGAAATAAGTCAGACAGAACAAGCTAATAACCATATGACTTCACTCATATGTGTGATATAAAACTGAAACTTATGAACACAAACAGCAGAGTGCTGGTTGGCAGAGGGAAGTGGGTGGGGAGAAAGGAGTCCTAATATGAGGTGACAGGAGAAGATTTGACTTTGGGTGATGGGCACACGGTGCAATATACAGATTTTATAACATAGAAACCCACACCTAAAACCTATATGATCATATTAACCAATGTCACCCCAATAAATTTAATTTTAAAACTATAAATAAAGAAAGAAATAAGATTAGGATTTAATACAACAACATTTTTTGTTATGTAGAGCATAAAATGTTTTCTACAACCAAGGTTAATCTACTTCCTAGTTGACAGTGTATCAGAAAGTACATACTATGTATTTTTTAATCATGGCATATTTGCAATGTTTAGATTTGTTTTATAGTTATGTCAGAAAGACTGAAAGCTTTTTTTCTTTATCTTTTCCCAAATCTACTGAATTTAGGAAGTAATAGGGTGGTGAACCTGTCACCAAGCTGTTTGACAAAGCTTTTGTTTTGTTTTGTTTTGTTTTTGCCACAAGGTACTGGAAAGACAAGAACCATCACCAAAAGTAAGAAGAGAGGTACCTTTGGTTTAGCTACTATGTAATAGTAATCACAATGAAGCACAATGTCTTGGTAAGAAAGAGAATACCAATGACATCAATAATGAGTAGCTTGAAACATCAAAGAGACTACTACGTGAAAAGTGCAGCTTTTAGAAATGGAAAATATCCAACCCAGGAAAATGCGGAAGTTTATAAAATAAGCAGGCCGTGTGCAAACTGTATTTAAGCAGGTTGGAAAAAAGAAAAGTTGGTGAAAAAAAATTTAAGGCAATTATAAGTTTTCAAATTACTCAAAATTAGTTTACTGGAGTGCTAGTGGATCTATCTGGGCATAATGGTGCAGAGAACTTAATGAGAGAAAAAAGTAAACTTTAGTGATCATTTTGTCCAATTAAAGAAGACATAAGGGAACATGCTAACTCTATAATTGTCTCCTCAAATTGATGACTTGATGGTAAAGTTGTAAATGAACAGATGATCTGGGTCCAACTGTCAAATTAAATATAGATAGCTACCAGAACCAGCTAATATTCTCCTATATTTGAAGGATCTAAAAGTAAAGTTTTAGGTACAGAGTAATAAATCACTTAAATATAAATTAATAACATGCCTTTTGGGGAGGTTTGTAGATCTTGTGTTCTACTTGATTAGAAATATGTACAGTATTAAGCAATATGAGTTTAAGTAGGCATATAAAGGTTGTCTTGTGGGCACAAAATTTTAGTTAAAAGTTGTATATGATAAGATAAAGGATAACATTGAACCAGGAAAGGACAGTGATTTATAAATCTAAGTCATGCTTATACATTTATTAAAATATATGCTTGACTATAAATTTTATGTGGACTTACTCTGGATTGCCACTGTAAGATAAGTTGTGAAAGTTCAACATATTACCATTTCCTCATGAGTACTAGCAATTATGATGATAAAGGGGTAGAATGTTATTTCAATCATTGATGAGAACATTGCATGTGGATAAGATCTCAAGTAAAGAAAAAAATGAAAGGAGGACCTATGTAATACTTTCAACAATAAAGATTTTTTTAAAAAACAAAAAAATGAGACTCGTAGATTCTTTAGTCTTTTGTGTTCTGTGTTGTTTACATGGTGGTTTAGAAGTATAGGTGGGGCTGATTGAGTTTTCCAAGTTGGAGAGATAAAAGGAGAATTAAAAGGTAGCATAATGCTGGTGGAATGTTAGAATTTTTAATGATTCACCTACCTATAACTTAGTTTAAGAGTTCTCTCAGTATCGCTATCATAACAGTAATGTGCAACCTATCTATAGCCAGCTGCTTTACTCTAAAACATGTCTGGCCCTTTGGCAGGCTTCAGAGACAACATTTGTTGTATAGGATTGTTTATGGTAGCAGGATGAAGGAAACTCAGTGAATGTGTGTGATCCAGTAGAATATGGACTAGCCCACCATTTGGAGTTACTGTTGTTCTAACAAAGCACATGTGAAGAGTCAAGGGAATTTGTATGCTTTAAAAAAACGTGTTAATGTCTTATATGATTTATTTTCCTTCATTTAAAAGAATTGATGCAAAACATTTATGTTATCCCCTTTCTTTCTCTCCCTCCTCTTAGAATAATATAGCTGATCCAGAAGAACTGTTCACAAAATTAGAACGCATTGGAAAAGGCTCCTTTGGAGAAGTTTTCAAAGGAATTGATAACCGTACCCAGCAAGTGGTTGCTATTAAAATTATAGACCTTGAGGAAGCTGAAGATGAAATTGAAGACATTCAGCAAGAAATAACTGTTTTGAGTCAGTGTGACAGCTCATATGTAACAAAATACTATGGATCATATTTAAAGGTAATGTGTGTGCTGTATTATTTGTCATAATGTATTTTCATTATAAGTTTTTCTTTTTTTTAAATTCTTTTTTTTTGAAATGCAATGTCTTAAATTAGGATTTGGCAGTCTTTAGCTTCCAGGCAGAATCCAGCCCCATTTATAGTGCCAAATAGAATTTGTATAGATCTAGCAGCTGTATCTTCAATGCATCCCAGTACTCAGCTGCATCATTTTTCCCACACCTGAACCTTTGGATTGATGGAGAAGCAGAAATGCAGCTGGTCCTTGAGACATATCCTTTGTTAAGAAAGAGCTTTCCCCCAGTGCTTTCACACATTATTCTCAGTGGTCCGGCCTGTCTCAACTTCAGAATTTATAGAATATGTAAGTCTGTAACTTATTCCATTGAGGTTTGGTCGTTATTTATACACCTCTCTCTCCCTCCAGATTGTGAGCTCTGTGATGGAGGGAGATTAGCTCAACTAGTCTTGGTTTTTACATCATTTAGCACAGGGCATGGCACATCTTATGCAAGTGATAAATATTTGTTTAAATGAAATTAAAATGAATAATATCTGTTCTCTCCTACACCGTCCAAAAAAATGGATTTTTAGTTTCTAGGATCGTGGAATTAGCAGACACCTAAAGTTCCAGCAGATGGAGATGTTACTGCATAACAGAAAACTCTTTAGTTAGTAAATCCACAAGTTCCTGGGTTCCAGAGGTAGTTCAATTTGTGTCTATTGCATGTGAAGCATAAATACAAAAATAGCTTAGGTTAGAGTTTAAATTATGTTAAAATTAAAATTTATTTTCCTAGTGTTGAAATATTTTCAATGGAAGGCACTATTAGTTAGATCTTTGCTTTTTAGGGTTTACATGGGGTGGGTGAGGGTTTGTTTTGTTTCATTTTTTTCTTTATTTATTTCTAGGCCAAAAGGGGTATGTTTATAACTTCTCAAGCTGTTGACCTGCATAAAAATTAATGCTATATTTTTATGTTCTGCTGACCAAATAAGCCCTAGGATAACCTATCTAAAGATATAGAAATTCATCAACAATTTTCCTGCCTTTTTACAAAGTTTGATTTATTCTAATATTACAAGAATTAGATGAATGTGCAAAGAATGCATAGTAGAATGAATCATTAAACAGCCAAATAGTCACTATGTATTATACATTTTACTAGGTGCTAGCTATAAAAATGAACAACTCACCACTGCCATTAAGGAGCTCACCATCCCATATTGCACTAAAAAGGGGCCAATTTTGTTATTAAGTATGTAGAAGGTACAAGTAGAGCACAAATAAGCAAGTAGTCACTTCTATCCTTTTTTTGGAGGGGAGGGTGAAGGCTTCAAGAAAGGCTCCCAAGAAAAGGTGTTTCTGCTGGCAATTTCTGTTCAATTTACTTCTTACAGTGAGCCATTACTCCATTTTACTATGTAAATAATTATATAGGAAGCTTATTTAGTGGTAATATTCTTTTTTAGTAATCCTAGGGACACTCAATCTCGTGGTTTTATGTCTCCCTTCTAATTCCCATAGCAGCCTTGGTTATAGACAGCCCCAAGAATTTGTTGTGTGTATGTGTGTGTTGTTATTGTCCTTGTTGTTTGTTCGTTCTGGCTTACTCTTCCTGGAATGAATCCTGCTAATTCCAGACCCTTCCTATTTTTAGGCATAGATAAGCTATTTTTGATAAGTAACTTAAAATATTAAATAAGCCCTATTTAAAATGGGCTATTCTATATTATAATGAAAATGAGTACTGAAATGATATTGACTGTTTTATTGGTTGCTTATAGTCTTCGTTCATATTCAATATTCTCATGGAAAATGAATTGTAGGTCTTTTTGTATTATATATTCCTAATATTTCACCTTTTAAAAAATTTCCCTCATGTACCAGTCACCCAGTAAATACTTAATTTTTAAGCAAATAAAACTGATAGTTCTTATCCAAATCTTGACTGTAGAATGTTCTCACACCAGTTAGTGACATAAAACCATTATCTAAGATGTCTTCTTCAAGGATTAAACAGAATTTTTTTTCTTTTATCCATCAGTAAGTAAAGTCCATGATGTTACTTTAAGAAACATGTCATTTCATGATAAAATTGTTGAAGTTCACAGCTGGCTGATATTATTTGTATCCTGAATATATTTACCTTAAAGTAAATAAACATATATGTATTAACTCTATATAAATGTACACATATACACAAAAAAGAAATGTCTTATTATTTTATAACCTTTTCTAATATATTTTATTTAAATTATTTTCGTAAATTGACCAACTTGTTTATTTTCCATTTATATTAAAACATAGTGTGGCTCTGTGGGCTTGTATTTTTTAAGTAAAATCCTATCAAGTGTAACAGGGTTCTGTTTAATGAAATCAGTGTAATTCAAGGCTGCATCCTTTAAATACCATCTGGGAACTGCATTATCAGTCAACTTATGTTCTTATTGTGACCCATCCTTCCATTTCAGATGACATGGGGAATTTTGTGGGTCAAGTCAAGTAGAGTAGGATATGTGGTTTACATATCCTATACAGGATATGTGAGTTTAAAGAATAGCTTTAAACTTCACATAACCAAGAAATCATTGTATGCTGAAGGAAAAGTTATTGCTTTCGAGAGAAAATTATATTCTCTTTGGAACTGTATGCAGTTGTAATGATTTTTTTTTTTGAGACATGAAAAAATGTACTGGTGTTCATTTTGACTGAGCTCATTGTATAACTTCGTTTTTAAAAACAAGAGTAAAAACAAGACAAACACATCAGTATGACCACAGTATTTTCCTTTCATTTTAGTTCACTGCAGATTTTCTTGAGAAACAAAGTTAGTCTTTATAAAGTGTACTAAAATAAGCAAACCCTTCCTTTCTGATCTCGTAATTTTGGAAGAATATTTTATAATCTTTAAATATTTTTCTAGTTCAATGTAAATATTAAAATGAAGCTTACTCAGGCATTGAATAGAATTTGAATCATGCCTTTATTTGCTGTTCAAAAATGCCTTTAGATTTAGATTTATGTTTATGTTAAGGAAATATGCTCCCCTCCTGATACTATCACCAATATTTATTTTTTTAAAAAAATAATTGAATGATTTAAGTAAAATATTCCAGAATAGAGTCTGTACAATTTTGTAGCCGTCTCATTTTTCCTGAGACTTTTGTGTGTGCAAAATGTTCACAATTCCAGGGTTGGGTGAATGTTTCCAGAATATTCCTTAAAAATAATATGAGTTTTCCTTTGTTATGTTCATTTCCTTTATATTGACTTTACTAGGGTGCCACTAGTTAACGAAGTTATACTGGTTTCAGGTGCACAATTCAACAACACATCATCTGTACATTGTATTGTGTGTTCACCACCCTAATTCAAGTCTCCTTCCATTGCCATTTATGCCTCATATACCCTTCTCAACCTCCTCCCACCCCCTTCACCCTGGCAATCACCATACTGTTGTCCATGTCCAGGACTTTTTAAAAAAAAATACATGAAGGAAATTGAGGAGGGAAATTTTTTCTCCTTACATTTTTCTTTCTTTTCAAAATAAGAATAGTTTTCAACTTCACATAACACACTTCTACGAAGCCCCATATAAGGTTCAATTCAACAGCCATTTACTTACGTGTATTGCTGTCATTATGCATATTTTCCCTGGTCAGTCTCATCCACTTTCTTCTGAAAACGTCTAAATTCATGTCTCTGGTTCCAGCCTCTCTCCTTAGCTCCAGATATGTACATCTAATTTGCCTCATATTATCCACTTACCTGTGGTACATAAAATGCAATGACCCCAAAACTGGGGAGTAGTATTTGAACTAAGTCCTGGGTATGATTTTGAGGGAGGTTGGGATGTGAAGGTGGGGTATAGACAAGAATTCTAAGCTGAAATAAACCAGTTCAGAGATGGTAAAGTATCTGGCAAGATGATCTCTACTGTCACTTGAAGTTCTATAAAATTTTACGTTCTTTTTTGTTGTTGTTATTCTCACTCAAGGACATGTTCACCAATTTTGAGAGAGAGAGAGAGAGAGAGAGAGAGAGAGAGAGAGAGAGAGAGAGAGATCGATCAGTAGAGGGAGAGAGAGAAACATAAATGTGCTGTCCCCTGCACATCTGTTAGTGGAATCTAGCCCACAACCCAGGCATATTACCCACAACCCTTTGGTGTATGAGACAACGTTCCAACCAACTGAGCCACACAGGTTAGGGCTATGCTACATTCTATTTTTTTTTATCCTGGTAAAATATACATCATAAAATTTACCATTTTAATCATTTTAAGTGTGCAATTCTGTGACATTAAGTACATTGTTTGTTGTATAACTATCACCACCATCCATCTCCAGAACGTTTTAATATTCCTCAACTTAAACTGTACACATTAAACTGTAAGTGCTCATTCTCTCCTCGTTACACTCCTTGGTAACAACCATCCTAATTTCTGTCTCTCTGAATTTCACTACCTTAATTTCCTTATATAAGTGAAATCATAGAGTATTTGTTCTTTGGTGACTAGCTTATTTTACTTATACATGCTGGTTTATCTGGTCAATGTCATGATTGGCTATTGGAGTTATAGACCAGCTCACTTCATTCAACATGTACTTGATATATAATAATGATCTCTCAAATACATAAAATGAGTATTTTAAATCTATTTTCTATGAACAAATGCATTCCAAGTTCCACAGCAGCACTTTTCTCACCTTTGGCTAAGTGTCGCCTTTAGCAACAAACATTGGTGTTCAAAGGCTTCATGGGGTAAAAGAGTTGATACTCTAGACACCAGTAATTTTTTAACACTAGACTCCAACCACTCCTCAGTAAATAGTACAATTATAGAATAGTTGCTCTTTAGGCAGTTTGAATTTTGGAACAGAGAACTACTTCCTAACACTTTGCTGACAAACTATGTTGATGCAGGACTTTAAACGTATTCGTCTGACCCATTTTTTAAAATGTGTGGATCATTTTATAAGTGAAGAAGTAGAGTTTTTCCTACAGAGACTTCCCATGCTTACATGTACAGGATGTATGGTTATGGTTTCCAGTCACTTGGCTCTTTTAGAATTGTAAACCAGTATGTAGACATCATCTTAGCTTTTTCAATTCTTTAAAAGCAAACCAAACATACTTATTTGCTTTCTCCAACACAAACATCTTTTACCAGAAATCAAAGATAGAAGTTTTAGTCCCTCCAAAAGAAGGAAAACATAGGATCTAGATTTTTTTTTATTTTGTTTTGCTTGTGATTGGTGTTTTTTATTGAGAACTGCGGTGGCCGAGGAACTGGTAAACAGAGCCTCTGTGGGTTAAGCTTCCTTGAGCAGGGAGGAACCCCACTAGCTCACCATTTATGCCTATGCCCACTCAGTCCTTGCTTCAGTACTCATGCCTGCCTAGCAATCTTCTGAATATCCAGACCTATGGCCATCCTCCAGTGAGGCTTGTCTCTGGAAATGGTGATCAGAAGGAAGCAAACAGAAAAGCTATTGAGCAGTTCTGGTTCTCTGCCGGTGTTAGAAGAGTTCTACCTACTTCCCCTGGGTTGGGGGGACTAAGAGGAAGCCTTCTTTTCAGATCGAGAAGTTAATTAGTAATAACTTTAATCACATTTTAAACTTTACATGAATATTTTTGGTGAAGAATAGAAGTTGGTAAGATTCTGTTTTGAATTTGTACCAAACACATTGTTTTTAACTTGGAAAACAGGTGCTTTCATTCATGCAGAACTGCAGGAACAGATAAAAAATTTTTATAAGATGCTTCACTTTTCTTTTAAATTTCAGGTGAATGGGAAGCATTCGGAATTCATAAGGTAGAATATAATAATTGTTAGAAATAAACTTGTGCAAAAGAAAAATCTCAGGCTATACAGTGTTGTGAGAAGCCCTTTCTTCTCTTGAAAAGAATATAAAATACACATCAGGTTCCTAATTTTGAGGTTCAGAATACCTGGTTTCTATACATAAAAATGAGTTACAAGACCCAATCCTGAAATTCCTCTCTCCTTCCCAACATAATGGGAATTTATTTCCTCTCTCTCCTTCTATAGACACTACTGCTATCAAAGACTCTCAGCTCTTTCTTTCTTCAGGTCAAGCTGGCCCTTTGTGAAAGGAGAGATTGGATGTCAAGACTAGGGGGAGGGAGCATTGTTCCTCTCTTTCTCTTATACATCCTACATAGTGTCAGCATCAAGAAAGAAAGGAGAGAAAGGAGGAATCCTTTCATCTTAAATTAACGGAGCCTGCCCTCCCTGGTCTCTAACTAACCCTAGGCCACATCCCATTCTCCACACTGTAATGTCACCTAAACACTCATCATCATATTACTGGAATCCATTCTCTGCTATGATAAAGCCCCAGCCTCATGAAGATGCTTGCATATTTTCAAACTCCTTGGACATTTTGAATGAGTACTCCCAGGGATTTTAGAATTTGAGGGCTACTGGCAATAGTTTGAGAATCTTTATCCCACAGCTGGGGTTGTAAAGCTGAGAAAGGTGTAAACTAGCATCCCAAGTTAAGCACATTGAATATATATTTCCCCCTAGAAACATTGTTATGGTATAAATAGTAGTTAGTTTCTCTGCTACTCTTCCTGCTATACTATGGATACTTTTACATTAAATTGTCTTTTGGGGGATTACCCCAGGAAACTAGACATTGTTTTTAATGGGAAAATGCTTGCTTTCTAAATTCCAAACATCTTACTTAAAAATGTACTTTTGGAACACAATCCAATCTCAACTTGGCACTTGCCAATATAGTAAAACCAACCATTTCTCTTCCAGTCAACTCTGTGGTCCCACAAAAATTCAGAGAATACCACTCATGAAATGGTATGGAAAGAGAGACGTCCCTAGTATTTCAAGCTATAGTTGAAAGCAGGAAGAAAAAAGATACAATAGTTTATTCCAACTTTTATCTGATAGAGCTGAATTGTGTGTGTGTGTGTGTGTGTGTGTGTGTGTGTGTACAACTGTTTTGGAATTCACATATATGCATTCTCTCTATGCACCCCATTTGCTCTTGTACAACTTACAGTGAAGTTATCTCTACCTGGAGTGATTGTATTCTTTTTAAACTATATACTCCCTTCTCTTATCTATTTACCTGGGTAGGGGGACAGTATTCTTTCTAGGTTCTACGTTTATAAAACATGTCATTAATCATGGCTGAATAAAGTTGTAAAGTAATAAAAACAAAAAGCAAAACTTAAAAGAAGGCAAAATATCCGGGGTCCTTAAACTCAAAAATTGAATGAAAACACTCAGAATTCCTATTCAAAATTTCTTCAAGTTTCCATTTATTTCCTCATTCTGTAATGCATCTTTCTTTTCCCTTTAATATTGTCATTTGAAATAATAATTTAAAGCTATGGTTTATATTTTCTGGGTTTTATAAAAATTGCTAATAGTTCCATGATAAGAAACAATAGCTACTTATTTAGCTATATCATAAGCTAACTAAATTTCGAAGAGGATCAAGTCTCAGAATTTTACTTTCATTTTTAATGTTCTATGGAAAAATAATATTTAGGGTTCCAAATACTGAACTTTAATGTACTGTATTTTAAAACCAGTACATTAGTATATCAGATTTAACATTTGTTAGTTATGCTCAGGTTTGTAATTATACATTGTTTCATGGCTCTTGCAGGGCTCAAAATTATGGATAATAATGGAATA